TAAAATTCTAATAGCTATTGCAAAACTTGAAAAAGGTTTACATATAGGAGCACTCAATATTCCTTTCAACACAATCATCCCTGTGTAAAGTAAGAAATAATGCAACTCTGTCGCTTTCCACCTATTTAACTCTGAAAGACCTCTTGGCTGTCTTGCAAAATTACTGGGTAATTTACCTTTCAATCGAAGTAATTTATTTGAAATCTGATTAATCATGGTACAAGAAAGTTTCCCATGCTTAGTCCCATTAGTATTACCCTTTAAAAAAAAAAGTATTCTACGTGTTACTCCTAAACAAACTAGGTGCATGTAATCCAATGGAAACATACAAATAAAATTTATTGCTGATACTTCTCCTTAAATACTCTTTTCATGTTGATGGCTTCTTCCATTAATATCCTTTAGAAAGTATGTATTATTACAAAAATCAACATTTGTACGCAAAATTGATGCATCATCCAAATAACCATAAACCACTGTATGTACAGAACTTTTCCCTACCATTGTGCATCTTTCGCATGAATGGTAGCCAGTATGACTTACAGTAACTTTTAACATTGCCCGAGCAGGTGCATCTGAGACAAAAGAATGTATTTGTATTTGATAACTTTTGTCCAAATAGTTCAAAGATTTGCTGCATAATTCTTTTAACTCATCAACAAGATTTCTTAAAAATGTATTTGAATTTGGTTTAACTGTACCACCAAATATTCCAACTATAAAAGGAGTAAAACTATGGATTCGAGCAAGAATTGGCCATATTTGATACAAGCTTGACTTGAACAAAGTGATGTCATCTATATTAAAAGTCAATAGAATAACAGCTTCAGAAATAGAATGCATAATAATCTGTGTAAATACCTGGTCCCTTAATCCAAAATGAATATATTCTCCTCCACCATTTAAGTGAAGAGTGAAAACGTTTCTCTTAGTTAGCAGTAATGTTCTACAATCCTTCGGAACACAATGACCGTAATCAAGAAATATTGCCAATACTTCATTAGTACACTTTTTTGATCAGTTATTTTGCATAGTCCAGTTTCGAATTTTAGAACATAAAACATTATCATATTTCCTTTTCGACATCATATGAAGCTTCAGATGATTTAAGATTTACTGAATCCTGAGAACTCTGATGATAAACATCTTCTTATACATGGTATAGTGCAAAACTGCATTCGACCAATAGAATCTGTATTGCAATCATAAAAAGTATACATGCTGTCTCCAGAATTCTGTGGTTATAATGTGTTGCACTCGATATTAACAAAAAAAATAACCCATCAATTATGATTTAGTAACGTCCGTAATAACATAATGTTTCTGACGCCATATTATCGAAACTTACCGAATGTAGATGGTAGTGGATCAAAGGACCAGATGTGTTTTTAGCCCAGATGCGATTTCTGCAACCGAGTCGATGATGTCTTCGTTGGACAGCCCAACCATAACATCTACTTCGACAGACATCAGCATGAAAGCTTCGAAATGCTTGGACGACATTGAACTTCTCAGTCTATTTTTAATGTATTTTAATTTGGAAAAGGACCGTTCACACGCAACTTGAGTAGACGATAAAGTCAGCAAGAGCTTATAAGCATTGTACAAATGGGTGAAGGCTTTGCTGTAGAAATTGTATTTGTGTAAAACCGTGAAGCAACAGACGGGGCAATTTTTGCAACTCTTGCATTTACCATGAGCTTCTTTGTCTTCAGAGAACGAAGAAGAAACTGCAGTTTCCTCGTCGTTCTCCAATTCATCGTTGTCGTTTCGGTTTTCCGCTAAGTTCATGCCCAAATACTCTTCAGGAACGGTCTTCTTAAATTTGCTCCACTTGAGCAAAAAGTCGATGAGTTCGGATTGTAAATTTGAAGCTGTTGCATCTTTATTAAATTTTGTTAGAATGCTGCTGAGACGTACTAAGGCAGTAGGTTGGATACCGTTTTTCTTGATATCGTAGAAATTTTCCGGATTCAAGCACGCCATGTCAGCGAACAACGTGTCTTGAGCTTTAAAGCGTTCTTCCAAAGTTTTCACTACTTTGTCCATAACGCAGTTGTGTACCGTTATCCTGTAGCAAACAATTGCGCGATCTCCGACAGCCTCGTGAGTGCGTCGCTCACCACTCATTGCTTTTGCGACGCGAACTCGTTTCTCTGGAAATGCAGCTTCAATCGTCACATCAATTTTCAGATCTTCCAATGAGTTGTTGGCCCACTCGACAAATTTTTTAGCGCTCGCATTAATGCCATCAAAGTCTCTGGACACGTCTCGCAGTGCCTTGATAGTGCAGTCAACGTTTCGGTAGGCTTGGAGCACATCCATCCCACTTGTCTGCAGGTACTTGGAAAGTGTTGCTGTGAGTTGGAATATACGCAAAAAAACTTGAACGGTAAGAATTGTTTCAAATGAGATGCACTTTTCTAATAGGGTTTGGGCGGTGTCGCGAACAGTTGGGTTAAAGTCTTCAGAGGAGGCTAACTCTTGTAAAGTTTCAATTAGCTCAATATACAAGGACGTCGATGGGTTGTTGAAGCTTCCAAATATTTTTTTTAATGCATGGTCCTTTGCCCACCAGCGTGTCTCGCCAATTACATTTAGTCTTCTATTGTTTGATTGTTTTGACGCCCATATGTCCATTCGTATATTTGATTCGCGCAAGAAAACAGCACATTTATTTATAAGCTGAAATATACTGATTGCAGCTTTGGTGGTTTGTGTGGTATCAACAAGAACAAGATTCAATACATGAGCGTAACACCACACATGCACTTGGTTTTGGGATGCCTCACTGAGCCATTTTGTGAAACCGGAATATTGGCCCTGCATGTTTGCCGCCCCGTCTGTAGAGTTTCCCACACAGTTTTCAATGTTTATGCCCATTTTGACAATTTCATCCCGGAACAGCTCGAACATACCCTTGCGTGTCGAATTAGTACAATTGCTGACGGATATCAGTCGCTCGTAAATATGGTCTTTAACATATCGGATTACAATCGAGCATTGATCCTTTACGCTAACATCTTGCGTTGTGTCCAGTTGCACGGAGAACATTCCTGCCGATTGAATCTCATCTGCAATCGATGCCTTAATCATACGGCGAACAGATTCAATTACATAATTGACAGTAGTGCTTGAAATAAATGTTACTAACCCTCCTCGTCCCTTCGTTCCTGATGCTGCGCACGTGACATGTCGTTGCTTACTTTTCTCCGTCACGATGTCAAGATGATTTTTCATAAGCGGGTCAAATTTAGACAGAAGGATTAAAATTTCTAAAAAGTTTCCGTGGTCAATATTGACATTGTCCAAACAGTAGGCTGCGTCATTGATAGATCTGTAACTAAGTCCTCGCTTTCCAATAAGTTTAACAATTTCTATCACACGTTCTAGAACTTGCCGTTTTTCTTTAACTTGAGCAGCTCTCACATTTTTTTGATTTGAAAAAAGCAAGCTATATACGTCCTTGTCATTGCTCGACATAATGTGTGCCTTTACACTCCTGCAATGGTGTTTACTCGATTCGTGTTCTTCGATTCGTTGGTGAACATGCTTCCAATCATTTATGCCATCAGTAAATGCATTGGATTCACTAGCTTTGCTGTAGGCCAGACACACTGCGCAAAACATGGCCTTCGAACTGTGACAGTAAGAAAGCCAAACCCTATTGATATCGTCTTGGCTTCTATAAAACACTCGACGAACATTTAAAAATGGTAAATTTTCCCCATCCTCTTTTGGTTGAACTGGATGACTCTTGAAAAATGATTCAAGGCACTGCGATTGTGGACGCATGAAAATTTCTGAACACTGGTTCTGAGGCCGGGAGTCAGAGGATACAGATTTCTGGGATGGAGTTAGCACAGTGCAGCTCACGGAGGCTGAGACGGCAGGACCGGCTTGAACGCCGTCAGAAATTTGAGAACCTAAATCATCAACCAGAGTATCACCACCAAACTGGGTGGGGGTACTTAGTCTAAAAAGTTCGGTTATCTTTTTACACCTTTCTCCCCCTTGAAGAAAAAGCTTTTGTTTCTTTTCACGTTGCTTTTCTGCCCCGCCTTTACTTTTCCGCTTCAAATCTTCACTTATCTTATCAAATATATACGTAAGGAGAAGACTATAATATTAGAGGCCCATTTAAGTTTACATTTTAACTTTATAACTATTTTGCGGACAAACATGGAAACATACATAAAATGAAATGTTCTCAAAACGATTAAAAAATCTGGCCAGTTTTTCGCAACTAAATATTATTTCCGTGGTCAACGATCGCTCCCGCTTCCCGAATACGCAATCATCAACTTTTCACTTTATGCTACACGTAGTTTCACACACTGTTTTCAAATGCCGTTTTCACCGTTACACGACCTGTCACTTGAAAAGATTCACTTCACAAAATGCAATCATTAAAAATACGAAATATCTCACTGCGGATGGTATCGCATAATTATCGCTAGCCATAAATCGCGTTTGAAGTCAAAAGCAAATCAAAACAACCTGCTAAAAACCAGGCGGCCCACCGGGAATCGTCCCGGGGTCCCGGCGGCCCAGTCCAGCCCTGTATATATATATATATACATATATATATATATATATATATATATATATATATATATATATATATATATATATATATATATATATATATATATATATATATATATATATATATATATATATATATATATATACACATATATTAAATTATATATATTAAATTATTATAATTTATATAAAACACTCTAAAGGGGTGCTAGCAGGTTTTTATATATATATATATATATATATATATATATATATATATATATATATATATATATATATTATATATTATTTATATATCAGGGTGTTAGCCAGGAATAAATTTTATACTGCATTTTTGTGGTTTTTGCATTTTATCCTATAAAACAATTCATATTTACTTTTGTAAAAAAAAAAAACAATTATTATTACTATTTTGTTATTATTATAAGGTATTATTGAAAATGCATAAGGTAATCATTATATTAATAACAGCATTATAAATGTTTTTATATAAAAAATACACAATAATAATTTAAATTTTATATATTATTTCAAAGAGGTATGGAAGAATATAAACAAATCTCAATTATTTTTTTACTTCTGCCCTCGGGGCTCTCTTTAAATGATCGCCAATTAGTTGATCAACATTTCCTTTTTGAATTTTTTCTGTCACCAAAGCACCTTCAATAAAACAAAATCTAATATAAGTTCATATTTAGATTATTTTTATATGTCAAGAGATGAAATTTAGAAAAACTTTTGAATTTGTAAAACTTTATAGTCTTCAAAGCTTCATTTTAGCTAGTTCAGCTAACAAATTAGAAAAATATAGAGGTTTCAAAAAACCGAAACTAGATATTTTCACAGATATCCCAATCCCCGATCACTTAATTTAATCCTTCTATCATAAATTCCATACAGAATTCTAATTGATTTATTTTTATTAAAGTTTTCTTCTTTATTTTTTTTAATAAAAATAATTTAAATTACTAAGTAAAGCCTTGTACAATAAGGTATCCTTAAACGGTCGCTTTCCATTATTTCCAACCTTGCTAAATTTAGCTTGTACCTGTCTTGTCATTGTTTCGTCTAAAGCCATTTATTATTGTTGATGGGGTGTTGCCACCAGCCTGTTTTAATCGACTGACCTAAAAATATATAAAACAAGGGTTTTATTTTATATTATTAAAATTAATAAGAATTGTGATATAAAAATTTAATAATAAATCATAGTTTTTATAAGTTACATTTTTAGGTGTCATGTTATTCAAATATCAAATAATTTTATAAATGCATAATATTGGATAATTTGAACAAATATTTGTTCAAATTATCCATTATTATGCATTTATAAAATTATTTGATATTTGATCTTACCATATATGGTAAGATTACCAATAAAATAAAATCATCTTTTTTTTTTTAGAATCTCTTCTCTTTCATCAAATTCCAAAAGGGTAGAAGATTTTTCAATGTGAAATGCAGACATTTCAGGCTCTGTTCGTCGACCCATTCTTTCAACTGCTTTTTCAAGTTTCGCAATCTTATTTTTAACACTACTGAACTCCATTAAAAGAGCATATTGTAGACCTATTTACAAAAAAACACTATTTACATTTGTTAAACTACACACACACAATATATATATATATATATATATATATATATATATATATATATATATATATATATATATATATATATATATATATATATATACATATATATGTATATATATATATAAACATATATATATGAGTAATACAAAATATATATATATATATATATATATATATATATATATATATATATACATATATATATGAGTAAATATGAGATTGTATTGCAGAGGTGTCTTACAATAGTAAAAATAAAAACAAGAAAACAATAATAAAAAAATCATATTTACGTCTTTCATCAAGAACCTTGAAAGTAACAGGTGGCTCATTATACACAAACTTTCCACTAATTCGATTCATACATTCTATTTCTAAAATAAATTCACACAAAAAATATATACTTAAAATGTACTAAACTATATTGAGTGAAAAATATTTAATTTACTAATATTTTTGCCTGTGAGTTCAACTTCATAAGAATTATTAATTTTTAAATTGGAGCTTTCTTTCGATTTTGTCAAACTCTCTACGGGTCTCACGGGTACACCAGATTTTTTACACAGACTATCTATTTTATCTGTATCAAAGTACTTTTTTTTACTAGAAGACTCAATTATAATATCAATCTCTGGACTTGATTCTCTGTATAATTCGGCTTTTGAACTTTCATTTTCTGAAATAATTTTACTATTCTATAATTTTATTTTTATTTATGACTTTTATAAACAATACACATATTATAAAAAGTTAAAATAAAATTGCCAAAACCAAAATACGTGTGTTGAATTTTTATGTTTAATATTTTAAGGCAATGTTTACAACAGAGCGTTTTTTATAAGATTTATTATAACAATGACTAAACAAACAAAATATAGCGCTAATAAATATTGTTATATAATATTTTTATATTACATTACAAAATAATATTAAAAATGAAGAGATAAAATTAAACAGAAAATTACCATATTTTTAAATTACATTACTAGAGGTTTCTGTATCTATATTCATACAAATGTCACAAATATCTTTTGTAGTCATGTCTAAATGAACATTTCTGATTGGAAGCGTAAGCTAAGTAGAATCTGGAGCCAACCAGTTGCTAATATAGCTGCTAATCTGCTTTTTTGACTTAGGTGGCCAATAAACAATTTTTTCTTTGTCGTTTACCCAGTGTAAAGGTACTGTCACTTTTTTATTAATACTGTCCTCAGATATTGTGACGACTGAATAAAGTCTTTTAACAGGATTAAAAAAAAAGGAATTGTCTGTACTTACATTTATCATTTTCTCCTTACTCTTAAACTATATTATTATAAGTTTTTATAATAAAATAAAAGTTTGATTGGTTAAAATAATTTATATATATATATATATATATATATATATATATATATATATATATATATATATATATATATATATATTTATATATATATATATATATATATATATATATATATATATATATATATATATGTATATATATATATATATATATATATATATATATATATATATATATATATATATATATATATATATATTTATGATTGTGTTTGTGTGTGTGAGTAAATAATGTTAGTGTATTCTATAAATATAAATTATGTTAGTGCATATTTTAATTTAAATGTAAAATAAATATGATATTACTATATATATAATAATATTATATATAGGTTATATTTATAGGTTATATACTATGTTATATTAAAATTATAGTATATATAAATACATATATATATATATATATATATATATATATATATATATATATATATATATATATATATATATATATATATATAATTAAAAAAAAGTTATATAAATGAACTATTGTAAGCATTACCGTGTGTTTGGTCGCGATCTTTTTCTTGTTTTTATAACGGAAGAATTACTTGAAGAATCGCTCATTATATCAAGAATATATTATTTCAAGATAAATAAAGTTATATGTTTTATGTATTGTAGTTTTTTTATATTATATAATATAAAAAAACTACAATACATTAGATGTAACTACAATACATTATAGATGTACTCACGTTAGGTTAACACTTAACGCCACTTTGAAATGCAAAGTTGTTTCCTGTCCTAAAAAAAAAGGTAAAGTATGCGGGCGGGTGGCAAAATTCCATTATCCATTATTTCATTATTTTTTTTACATTTATTTTTTTTTATAGATATGTAAGCAGTTAGGTTCTAGGGTTGTTTTTCCGACCAGTGTACAATAGGCCGGATATTAGACATATGCTAGACAAAATTATTCAGCTCTTTTTTTTTATTACTAAAACCTTTCAAATGTCAAAACAAGTACTTTGTATTAAGATATCTTTAATTTTATTATAAATTATTGCTGAATACTTGCTAATACTAAAAATTATTAACCAAACTTTAAAAACGCGGATTTATTATGATGTAGATACCTAAAAAATATATAGCCAAGAAAGCTTTTAAAATAAACATAACTTACTCATGTCATTTATACTTATAGAGGTCAGGATTGCGGCAGATTGATTTTTAGCAATAAGCTTCAGCATAAAGCTAATCAGTTTATAAGAGAGACTCTTTAAACGGTATATTAACAAATGCATTATGAAAAAAAAATTAAATCGCTAAAGGTTACTGAGTCTGACTCATATAGACTCAGTAACCTTAAGCGTTTTCAGGTAATTATGTACATTTTTTTGCAAAAGTAATACTATACTTATAAAAATAATACTATAAGTGTAATAAACTTGGTATAATAAGACCTGATGAGCCTATATAGATGTTTGATCTAGGTCGTATACGTTTTGCAAAAGTTTGCAAGACTTTGTACAAAATAAGTTTTTATTTAGTACTGCGTATTTTTTCATTTTTTTGTTCTCATACTTTTTTTAGAGTTGTTAGTCCTTGGCCTAGCTTTAAGTTTAAAAATTAGATCGTTGGCCTTGACTTTACACAACATGCTTTTGAATTTTGAATTTTCTTGATTATTTTATAAACATTGTCATTTCATAATTTTTATCAACTAAAACTACAATACAAACTAAAACTAAAAACTGAAACTAAAAACTGAAACTAAAACTAAAACTACAAACTGACCTCTAGCATAAAATTTTAATAAAATTATGTGATGCAAATTTTAAACTATGTTTTATTAGAAAATAAAACATCTCTAAGATCTTGTAAAAAAAAAAAAACAGAATACATTTGAAACGTCTTTCTTGCTCTTCTCAACATAAAAATAGCAAAGAAATAAAAGTATTATTATAATATTCTCTATAAAATATGATTATAGTCTATATAACTAATACTGTAATATAATAATAGTCACAGAAAATACGTTCGCAATACATTACTTTTACTTAATAGCTCTGCGAGGAATAATTGACTGAGAACAGCATTCGTCACATTGAGGAAAATAGTCTTTTTTTGTGTTGCTATTGGTAGGTCTGCTGAACAATAAACATAAATGTTAACATAGTTAGCTGAGTAGTACAATGGTTCAACTGGTTCATCACAATTCATTTATCGAACAAACACAACATCTTGCAAACCTTCAGGCAATTCGGCATCCTGCAGTAAGAAACCACAATAAAAACACAGACCATCTAGAGCACATTCAAGCAGTTGCCTCTCATCTGTTTTAAATTTTCGTGAAGCATAGATTATTCTCCACATACTACACTCATCACAACACAGCACCATGCCACTGTTCTTGACATGTTCTACACTGGCATAGAAAGGAAGAGAGCTGCCTATACCTTTCTGAAGTGAAGGTCTATCATTTTCAGAAGTTTTTGTCCCATGAATATCCTCAAATAATTTGAAATGACCATCATCTTATATAGGGTCTGGAAATAATTTGGTCTTAGAAAATTCTTCAGTAGCCTCAACCTGTATAAAATCGATCAAAATATAAAAAAAGGGAAATCATAGATAACTTAACACTCGTGTAGGTCACTCTGGGGTCAAGACCACCATCAGAATACATAAACAAAAATGGCTTTATTTTAGCAGCTTTGAATATAAAATTTACTAATTCAGCTGCATGTCAAATTGGAGAAGAAGGCTCCAATGCACTGTCTTTATATGCCACATTTACTTAGCCATCATACCAAGACTTAGATATTTTTTCTGGTATATCAACAACCAGTGGCACAGATGGAATTATACTGAACCGTGTGAAGTCATGATCACTAACCTGAAACAACATTTTTCCATGAACAAGCACCTGGCGACCTCGCTTGGCTGATGCTACTGGACATAAAGGTTCTCCTACTCTAATTCGATGCTTGTCATCAGCACAAACTAGTATAGATACATTCCTTGTTTTCCAAGCAAACTCACACTGATAGCGAAATATATAAGTTGCATAATGAGAATCAGGGTGTTGTTTACGTCATTGTCTTTGGTGTACCGTTCTTTTCAAATTCAAAATCTCTATATACCTCTGTGAACTTTTTGTTTCTTTTCTAGCTGGCATAAACTGCGATTGGATATATGATTTAGATGGAATAGGGGTATCATCAGATAGTTTGGCTGCAACTTGATCTT